CCACTTAAGAGATGAGGAAACTGAGGCACAGAAAGGTTATATATAGCGTATCTAGAGAATAGGGAGCTGCTCTCTATGCATTTACAATCTAGTTAGGTTTAAGGCACATGACAGTGATTTTTAGGCAAACCCATCTCTCTACCATCGAAACTGAATTTTATTAACCTTTCTTAACTGGAGAAAGCATATTATCTATCCTTCTTGAAACTTTGCATAATTGTTCATCACAGATTTGTAGATTTTATAACTAATAAGAGTTTAAAAACTTCTAGATCAGGAGTTCTTAACCTTTTTTGTGCCAAGGACTCCTTTGACAGTATAGGGTAGCCTATGGACCCTTCTCAAAACAGTGTTTTTAGATACACAAAATAAAATGTGTAAGATTACAAAGGAAATCAATTATATTATTATGCGATTATCAAAATATTAAAGATAAAAAATCGTAATATAGTTATATAAGTATTTGTTATTAATTAATGTCATAAATAACAAGATCTAGATGCAGCTCTGATAACCATGGTAACTTCAAAGTAATGATGAGTGTAAAAATATTTAAAGACAACCGTAATGACAGTAATGTGACATAAAGCTGTTTGTGATTTCTATTGGTGACAAAGTCACAGGCACTGCGACTTAGAGAAAAATCTAGATAGTTTGAAGATAGAGTTCAGAAAGCTGTAATGTGTTTGCATAACAAGTCCAGCTTGTATTGACATATAGCCTCTCTCTGTGGGAAGGCTGACTGTTCTCTGTGTTTGTGATTGAAGGAAATTTAAATTTCAGTTAAAGGTTGGTGAAAATAAAAATATAATATTTTCCAGTGAAGCTTATTATCCTCTGAATTTTTAGGAATCTTTGTTCTAGACCAACCACCTGATAATATTAATAATAGCTAACATGAATGAGCCTTAACTACATGCAAGGCTCTGTGATAAAGGGCTTTACAACCATTTTCACCTTATTCCTCATAGTAAGTCTAGGAGGTGGCCTTATTTTATAGCTTTCAGAGAGATCTAATTAATTTTTCCAAGGTTACACAGCTGGCAAGAGGAAGAGAATGACAGATTCATTTTCTCATAGTTCTGGAGGCTAGAAGTCCAAGGTCAAGGTGTAGGCAGGGTTGATTTCTACTGAGGCCTCTTTCCTTGCCTTATAGATGGTCGTCTTCTCCTGATATCTTCACATGGTCTTTCCTTGTATGTGTCTGTGTCCAAATTGTCTTTTTTTATAAGGACACTGGTCATATTAGATTAGGGCTCATTGTATTGACTTCATTTTAATTTACTTACCTCTTTAAAGATCCCATCTCCAAATAGTCACTTCTAAGGTGCTGGGGGATAGTACTTCAACATATGCATTTGGGAGGGACACAATATAGCCCATGATAGATCCCAACCACAAGGATTCAGATTCAGTAGGTCTGGGGTGGGGACAAGGGATATGTAATTTTAAAAGGTCCTCAGGTGATTCTTACAGACATCCAGATTTAGGAGCTATTATGTTCCCAACCACAAACTTTTTTAGTACAGTGCTTGGGCATGGCAGATATTCAATAAATATTTGTTGATTGATTAATTAAAGGGAAATGAAATATAGAGATGAGCAACTGCGGGGAATTTTAAAGTGATTTTAGGGATCATCCAGTGAAAGTTAGTTTGAAGTCTCAAATAGTATAGAAGCCTGTGGTTTTAGATAGGGAGCTGGCCAGATGATCTCAATGTCCAGCTTGTCTTACTTTCAGTTTTTTCTATGCGAAAATAACAAGGTTCAAATTTATATGCAAATGTGAGGAGAACCTTAACTAAGAACTGATTTAAACAGAAACAAAAAGTAAGATCCTACATATGTAGGATATTTGAGTTTTTGTAATTGTGAACGTATTCTATATGGGGCTTTGCCTGCACATGGATATTGTGTGTGTTTTGTATGGATGAGGATGTTTAAATACGGTTGTATATAAGTGAGAGGGATTTATATAGTGGGGTGTGTGAAATGACACTCATATCAGGTTTCTTAATCTCAGGTGAGGGCCACTTGATTTTTCCACATTGAGCTCAATAAATGATTACCATTATAATAATTTTAAAAAAATAGCAGTAGCAGTATAAGGCCCTGGTACTCAAGAATATCTAGCTTTTTTTAGATCTTCTTTAAATACTGATTTATTTTACTATAGTTTGGTTTTCCATCCTCCTATCACAAGTGGGATATACTCTATTCAGAACTGACACATTTTTCTCTCGCTTAAATTCTAATATATCCCCCCTGTGGCAGGATTCCAACTAAATTGTTGACAGTGGTTACCTCTGAGGCAGGGGTGGGATTAGGTATGGGGGAAAGGAGTGAAGGAGAGAGACTTTCTAATTTTATCATTTGCCAAAAAATTAGTATGTTTTGCTTATATAAATTAAATATTTTTATGATAAAAGTAATACAAGATTATTTTAGAAAATTACTAGTGCAGGATGATATGAAGCAGTCTCAAAATTCACCTACAATTCTGTGATTCAAGAACAACTTTTATCTCAGTCTCTCTCTTTATGGAACTATTTCATGAAGGTCATATGTCATTGCATCCTAACATCTACAGTGTTTTGTTTTTTTTTTCTGGAGCTCATAGTCTGGTATTCGAGTGAGTGTGTGTGTTTGTGTGTGTGTGTGCATGCATGAGAATGAGAGAGAGGGAGAGGGAGAGGGAGAAGGAAATGGAGAGGGAGAGAAGGGAAAGGAAGGGAAGATAAAAGTTGTGATAGAAGGAAGCACAGGGTGATGATGGAAAGAATGCAGAGTGGGCACATCTTACCCAGATTGGAAGGGTCAAGGAAGGCTTTCTAGAAGAGGTGATGCCTTAACTGAGCCTTGAAGGATGAATTGAGAAGACTGAGCCCATTTTCTAGTGCCTAGTAGGTGTTCGACTGATGAGATAATGGATAAAAACACATAGCGCCTTAACATATAGCAAGGCCTCGATAAATGATAGATATTATTATTATCTGACCCTTTCAAACAAACTCGAATGACAATTTGTGTTTGCTATGAGGAATAAGTGATATAATGCACATAAGGTACTTAAGATAGTTCCTGGCACATAATAAGTACACAGTATATGGGGCAGTTGATAGTGTTTTTGGTGGTGGTTTTATTATATTTAGGTTCTACTGCACTGAGATGGAATCTTCTGTTTCTGATCTGGGTTGTCTGACTCTGCAGTTTGTCCTGTTACATTACTTCAGATAAAATGTCTCTAAGCATGCTTATGTTTGGAGCTTTTCGTTATAACAGTGTTGACCCAACCATCACTACCACCATTGCTGATCATGTGGTGTACTCAAGTTGTAGACTCCAAAAGCATATAGATAATAGAGGAGCTGATGGCGGGAGAAGTGGAGCAGAACCTTGCTTGCCTCAGAAAATATTTCCATGTAGTAAAGAGATGGTCTCTAGTTTTCTGATCAGTACAGTTCCCGTATTGCTAAGCTGAAGATAGCAGATAGAAGTGAATTGAAAGCCTTCCTCATCTTTCTTGGCACTTTTATTGTCTGGATCAGAGGTAGAGCCTATATAGGCCCCAAGTATGCTCCATGGTCTACCTCATCTCCCCATATGATCCAGCAGAAACTCCTTGAGCACTAGCAGTTGAAGATCACTTTCCCCCCAGTTTCCTTAGCCAGTGCAGCTCTTTCGTGTTTTTGCAGAGCTTTGTGGATATTTTAATAGGCATTTGAAAATGATGGGTATCAGACATTGCTAGCTTGCTGCTCTGTTAACCCAGAATTCCCCTGGATATAATCCATCTTCTTGCTAAAGACTTCAGTGAGAAGGCACAAAGTACTTTCCCCGCCCCGCCCCCCAACAGTCCTTTGTTACTAACTTTCCACCCCTCTTCATCCTGGGGAACCTGTTTTTACCAGTCATCTCATTTTTACCCAATACAGAAGTTCTCTTCCTTTTTTTTTTAAAAGAAAAACTGTGTTGTACTTTCCTGAAGCCTTTATCTATTCTGGAAAGAAGCGGGTTAAGGGCAGAAGGAAGCTGACTGAACCTGTGCTGGCTGTTAGGGTGTGGGTTGATGAGGATTGAGGGGCAGGGATGCTGCTTTCTTGTCTTTCCATCTGAACCGAGAATCCAGGCAAAATGCATAGAGCAGGGCAGGAGAAAGGTAACCATCTTGCGGAGATAGACCTCAATACTGTTTGTAGATCCTAAACTGAGTAGGGGCCCCTTACCTAATATAGTAGAAAAATGGTTTGTGTCGTCACTGTTGCTGTTTTTTAATATCGTTCCTGAGGTGTATCTCCTTTCTTGTATTAGCTTTCTAAATCTTGATATTGTGTACTCAGATTGATCTATTTGCCCTACTTTCCACTCCTTGGAGCATTCTTATTTACCTTTCTGTCACCTCTGGAATTCTGGACTTGGTTTATCTAGCCCTTTGTCACCACTTCAATATGTTGACATACAGGCAGCCTCCACCTTGTACATAGGCTGAGATCTCAAAGTTCATTCTGAAGTCAATTGTTTGGAAGGTGAAATTCATTTTTCCATAGGAGAAAAATATTTTTATAAATGATTGTTACATTTCCAGGCCAGTCCACAAAAAGATTTTTTTTTTTTTAGCTTTAATGTACTAGAACTGTGGGCCATTTGCAATGAAAAAGTAGAACTCTTACTAATTCAGCAAAAACAGGAAGAAGGGCCAATGGAATAAGAAATGCTTTAGCTTGATTGCTAGCTGGTGCTGGAATCAAGGAGGCCTAATTGAATGAGGTAGATGGAGCTTTCATGGAAGCTCTCAAGGGGACTTTTTCAGACTTTTGAAGGCTGTAGAGGATCGTAACACTAGTTATTTATTTTTTCTAACTTCACTTCAAAAGTGATGGCTTTCAATAATAATGACTACTATATACTGACACTTCCTATGTGTCAGGCACTGTGCCAGGCAGTTGACATACCTGCTTCTCACTTCATCTTTGTAATAGAACTTTGAGGAAACTACGATAATGGCCTTTACAGATGAGAAGACTGAGGCTCAGTAAGTCAATGAATTTGATGAAGGTTACTCAGACAGCACAACTGGAAACCAAGTCAATGGTTTCTCACTCCCCGAGCCTGTACTTTACAATATGTACCCAGCCACCCTTTTCTTTTCCTTATCTGAGTATATCATGAGCACTATTCCTAAGGCTATCAACCATGATTAGAGTTGTTTGTTATCTCGCAGAGGAAACAAAGATCAGAGAAATCAAGGGAGGTAGTGAGAGGGAGAAAAGGAAGGATAAAGGGAGAGAGTTTTTCTAGGCAGAAGTTCAACTAAGAAACCAGGTACAGCAGTGCTTTTCAACTGTACTATGCATACAAATCACCAGATGCTTGTTCAAATGCAGACTATTAATCAGTAGGTCTGGGGAGGGGTTTGAGATTCTGCATTCCTAACAAGCTCCCAGGTGATGCTCCTGTTGTTTCATGGGCAACATTTTTGAATAGGAAGGCCATATACTACGAATGATAAACAGACAAAAAATCCAAGCATCATTAATACCTCCTTCTTAATTTAATTGCTATCAGCTTCTACACTAAATAGTCACCTATTCTCTTTTCTCCTGTAGGCTATCCCCAGGCCATTGTCCCTGCTTTAGATCTGCCTATCTGTTTCAGCTTATGCCGAACTGCTTTTTGAAATACAGGTGTTAAAGACATATGAGCATTTTCTACCATTCTGAGCCCTAAGCAGCCTCAAGCAGGCATTAGTATCTCTTGGTACAAGTTAGATCTCTGGCTGTGGAGTCCCAGGCCTCAATAACTGTTCTCAGCTTTCTTTCTCTCTACCAAGAAGAACAGTCTAATGAAGATAAGGCATGTAACACTGTTGTCCCAGCCCTTTCTAATTTCTTTTCTCAGAGCTACTGCCTTCATCTGGAGCAGGAAACATCCTGGCTTTTTAAAGAGTCCAGATCCTTATTTTTTCTATATAGTTGAAATAATACCAACCATTAGCTTAAGGCAGCCATTGAAAAGGTTCTTTGCAGAGTCCTCCTGCCAATTCTTGTAAAATTTGTTTCGTGGGAGGTTATTTGCTTTATCTTGCCACCTTCTTTCCTCCCTCCCTTTAAGATTTTGATTGTGATCATTTTGAGTCATTCTTCAAGTTTTTTCTTCTATTTTTAGATTCTCTGACTCATTCTTCCCCAATAGCGAGAGTCAGGAAGGCCTTCTATTCTAGCCAAGCTCTACTTTTTAAAGTAGGAAAGTCTCTCACAGTTTCTACAAATCGACTTGATGATCTGTGGCTCACAGTGACTCAATTGCTTTTCCATCTTCTCTCTGTGGCCTAACTCCCTTTGCTGGTATATGTTCATCAACCCTCCACTTGAATACACTGGAAAAGTTCACATGTCATCATTGGCTAAATGAAAAAACTTTGCTGAAAAACACCTGCAATCTTCTCTTTGTAACTTCTATCCATTAATCTAACTTTTACCATACATAACCCTTCAAATGTTTCATGACGGCTGTCATATCCTCTTTTAACCATCTCTTTGCTAGACTAAATGTGCCCAGTTCCTAATCAGTCCTTGGTGGTTTCTTGACACTTATCTAGATGCAGTATAGTTTGTAAATATTCATTTTAAAATAAGGTCCCTAGAAATGGACATACTGCTCCATGTGTGGTTTGAACAGCAGAGTCCATTAGGGCTGTTCCTTCCTATGAACTTCTAATGCAATTTTACAATAGTGTTGGCTTAAAAAAGAGTAAATCACTTCTTCACATCTATTAAGCATCTACTTTGGGTCAGATACTTAACATCTACTAAGTAACTTCTCCAAAGATTCAGTGTCAGAAGTTCTCTGTTCTCCCCTACCCTGTGGAGTCAGGAGATGGTATAGCTACCCTCTTCCATTCCTTTCTACTGTTATCTACTGTCCTCCAGGTCTCTCACTTATTGAGGACCTCAGCACGTTACTTATAGTTTGGCCACCACCCTGAATGACTTTAATGTCTTTGTAAATGACCCATCTACAAGATTTACCTTTTCAATAATTTTCACTTCCACTTCACTTCACCAAGCTATTCCTATGGTACACTTTATTCTCAGAAGATGACCTCACCTCTTATTCTATTATGCAAATCTAGGCCAAGAGATGATAACTTTTATTTTCCTGTCTTACCCTCACCCTTCCACAGAGCTGTGTCCTTACACATCTTAACCTCTTTTCTTTTTATCTTGCAGGAGTAGACATAGCTTTTCCCATTCAAGGTTAATCCATCTACTTATGCTTATGTTCCTGTAAATAAAATAATCACATGTAATTTATCTTTTAAGTTGTCTGTCTTCCCAGACTGTGAGCTCTTTGAGGGCAGGGACTGCATCTTATTTCTCTATTTCCCTAGAATCTAGCAGAGCACTCTATAAATGTTTATTGAATGAATGAGATATGGGATAGCCCAATTATAAACCAGGCCTCCCAAGCCTGTACTCTTTGTAGATCTCCCTCACTCTGTCCCTTTGCCATATATTGAATCTAAAACTAATACTTTACATTTATTCTTAAGTTTTATCCATCACTGTGTCAGTTTGGGTTCAGCATCATCCAAGGCTGCCCAGATCCTTTCTTTTTTATTTTTTAAAATTAACTTAATTGGAGAAACATTGGTTAATGACATTATATAAATTTCAGGTGTACAACTTTACAATTTTTTTATATTTTTATTTTTTCAATTATAGTTGATATACTATATTATATTAGTTTCAGGTATACAACACAGTGATTAGACATTTATATAACTTATGAACTGATCACCCTGGTAAATCCAGTACCCATCTGACACCATACATAGTTATTACAATACTACTGACTACATTCTTCATGCTACACTCTGCATCCCCATGACTATTTTGTAATTACCAGTTTGTACCTCTTAATCCCCTTCCCCTTCATTCATGCCCCTATACCCCAATCTGACAATCGTCAAAATGCTCACTGTATCTATAAGCTTGTTTCTGTTATTTGTTTGTTTATCCTGTTCTCTAGACTCCACATATGATATTTGTCTTTCTCTGTCTGATGTACTCCACTCAACACAATACCCTCTAGGTCTATTCATGTTGTTGCAGATGGCAATATTTCATTCTTTTTTTAAATGAGTAATATTCCATTATATATACATATATATACATATAACCTCTTCTTTATCCATTCATCCATTAATGGACACCCAGGATGTCTCTATATCTTGGGTACTGTAAATAACGCTTCAATGAATATATGGATGCTCATGTTTATTCAAAGTATTGTTTTGGGTTTCTTCAGATAAATACTCAGAAGTGGGATAACTGGGTCCTTCTTTATCTCTGGCTATAGCCTTTGTTTTAAAGTCTATTTTGCCTGGTATAAGTGTTGCTACCCCACCTTTTGTTTGTTTCCATTTTCATGAAACATCTTTTTTCATCTCTTTCCTTTCAATCTGTGTTTGTCTTTTGATCAGAAGTGAGTCTCTTGTAGGCACCATATGTAAGGATCTTGTTTTCTTATCCATTCAGCCACCCTATATTTTGATTGGATCATTTAATCCATTTATATTCAGAATAATTATTACAGATATATAGTTATTGCCATTTTATTATTTATATTTTGATCTGTTTTTCTTTTTTCTTTTTCTTCTTAAACAAGTCCCTCTAACATTTTCTGTAATACTAGTTTGATGATGATGAACTCTTTGAGCTTTTTCCTGTCTGCGAAGCTCTTTATTTGTCCTTTGATTCTAAATGATAGCTTTGTTGGGTTGAGTAATCTTGGTTGTAAGTCCTTGCTTTTCATCACTTTGAAAATTTTCCTGCCAATCCCTTCTGACCAGCAAAGTTTTTGTTGAGAAATAAGCTGACGTTCTTATGGGAGCTCCCTTGTAGGCAACTAAATGCTTTTCTCTTGCGGCTTTTAAGATTCTCACATTCTCTTTAATTAACCTTTGGTATTTTAATTATGACGTGGCTTGGTGTGGGCTTCTTTGGGTTCATCTTGTTTGGAACTCTCTGTGCTTTCTGGGCTTGTATGTCTAGTTCCTTCACCAGTTTAGGGAAGTTTTCAGTTATTATTTCTTGAAATAGATTTTCAATTCTTTGTTTCCTCTCTTCTCTTTTTAGTACCCCTATCATATGAATATCAGTACTTGATGTTGTCCCAGAGGCCCCTTAAACTGTCCTCCTTTTTTGGATTCTTTTTTCTTGTTGCTGATCTGATTGAGTGTTTTCTGCTACCTTATCTTTGAAATCACTGATTGGATCTTCTTCTTTATCTAATCTGATAATTCCTCCTAAGGTAGTCTTCATTTTAATTATTGTATTCTTTACTTCTGACTGGTTCTTTTTATGTTTTCTACCTCTTTGTTAAAGTTTTCACCAAGTTCATCTACTCTTCCTCTAAGTTTATTGAGCATCTTTATAACCAGTGTTTTGAACTCTATGTCTGATAGATTGCTTATCTCCTTTTTGTTTAATTCTTTTTCTGTAACTTTTTTCTGTTCTTTCATTTGGGACATGTTTCTTTATCTTCCCATTTTGTCTGCCTACTTGTGTTTGTTTCTATGTATTAGGTAAGGGCTACTATGTCTCCTGGTCTTAGTAGAGTGGCCTTGTGTAGTAGGTGTGCTGTGGGGCCCAGTGGCACAGTCTTCCCTGGTTATCTGAGCCAGATGCTCCAGGTATGTCCTTTGTATGTATGGGTTTTGTGTGTCCTCCTGATATAGCTGAACTTTGATTGCTGCTTGCTCATCAATGGCAGGGATTGGCCCTCAGGATGATTGGTTGTGATGACTGGCTGTTACTAGTGGAGGAGCTGTTGTGCAGAGACTGACCCTACAGAACAGGATTCCCTTTAGCGGGGCTCTGGTGCCTGCCCTGTCTGTCCTTTGGGTGTGTCAACCTCAGATATGACCCCAGGTGGTACTCCCGGCTCAGACCGAAACTGGCCACCAGGTGTGTAGGCCAGGATCTCCTGGGAGGGGTCCTGCCACAGGCCAAGTTCAGCTGCAGGCTGTGCCCTGCATGGGGCTATCTGTCATGGGCCACCAAGCAATCTGCTGATAGCCACCACCCATGCTGGGCTTGGAAGTGCTTCAAAAGGCCAAGTCACAAACTGAGGCTGGCTGCAACTAGTGCCAGGCTTGGGGCTGCTCAGCAAGAGGTACGGTGCATGCTGAGGTCAGATGCTGCTTGTTTAGGATTTGTGAACCTTTGAGAATTTTTTGGAAAGTCCACAGCATGAGCCAAAACAGGCCGTCTGTATGGAAAATTCACTGGAAGCGGCTTGGGTGGGCCTACATGTTGGGAAGAGTGAGATCTCAGGGAATCACCTGGACAGAGCAATTAGTGTTAGCAATATTGATGGAGTCTCAGGTATGGCGCCCTCCAGGGCCTGCAAGCTGGATTGGGGAGGACTCTAACAAAGGAACAATATCTTTTGCCAGCAATTCTGCCTTGGAGAAAGCTACCCCTCCAGCCCTTGCCTTGAAGCCAGATGACTCAGTTCTTCCCCATATGTCTCTGGCACCTTTCAAGCTGCTGCCCCAGTTTTGGAGCTCAGAGTGAGTGAGTCTGTCAGCAGGTAAGTCCACATGTGGGCCCCTTAAGAAGAAAGTCTGTGACTGCCTCAGCCCTCCATCTCACTCAGCCATAATCTCTGCTGGTTTTCACAGCCAGAAGTTATGCAGACTTCTCTTCCTGGCACTGGAACTCTGAGCTGGGGAGCCTGGTTTGGAGCTGGGACCCCTAACTCTTCCAGGGGGACCTCCATAGCCAAGATATCTCTCATGATTCTCAACTGCCACACGTGGGTGTAGGACCAGCCCATTTCACATCTCTGCCCTGCCACCAGTCTCAAGGTGGCCTCTTCTGTGTGTTCCCAGTTGTAGGTCTTCTGTTCAGCTAGACTTCAGGTGATTCCCAACAATGGCTATTCTGTATTTTAGTTGTAATTTTTATGTGGTTGTGAGAGGAGGCAAGCACAGCGTTTACCTACTATGCCATTTTGACTAGAACGAGGTGTACAACTTAATAATATGGCATCTGTATACTTTATTGTATGCTCACTACGCCAAAGTTTAGTCTCCTTCTGTTATCTTGTATTCGATCCATCTTTTTACCTTTCAAAGTCCCTCCTATATTTGTGTCATCGGCAGATTTAATATGTACTTATATGTCTTATTCTGAGTCACCAAATCACAGAATTAAAATAATTTTCTAATACCTCCTGTTTATTGAACACCTACAGTGTGTTCAGCACTGTGCTAGGTGCTTTCACGGATGACATTGTCACAGCATTTGCTGCAAGGTAGGTATTTTGATCTTTGGTTTACAAATGAGGGCATTGAATTCAGGATGGTTAAGCACTTTTCTCAGGGTCACATTGCAAATGGTGAAGCTGAGATTTGGACTGAGGTCTTTCGACTTCAAAATTCATGCTTGATTCCTAACACCACACAGATTAAAAGGGGCCTCTCCACTGTTTGACTACTGGGCAAGGGATACTTTAAGGTTAGTTTGAACCCTTTAGTTCCTTGTGCTCATTGCTCCCCAAAGCAGCCCATTCCAGCTTTGGACTGCTTTTACTCTTAAAAGTTATTGTTTGTAGTAAGCCAAAATTATAAATGAACTGAAGAAGACACAGCCAAGAATAGAGCCTTTAGTTCACATCTAGAACTTCCCTTCTAGTCTGACAGCAAACAATTTATTTGTTCAACTAGTTACAGACTCATCTCAACAAACAACTGAAGCATTCAGCCTATATTTTGCCATCTCATCTACAAGGAAATTATGGGAAACTTTGTACAATGCCTGGATGAGATGAAATGCATTGTAGCTATCATGTTCTCTGATCTGCAAATCTAGTAACCAGATTTTAAAAAATGAGAAATGAAGTCTGGGAGGGATATTTATTTTTTAATGGGGCAATTTGTCAATGACTCAAAATAATAAGTTTCCAGTGGCAAATTTTCAGACATCATTGATGGGCTGTCAGGAAGATGATTTTTGGACAGAGGGCTTCCCATTGCTCTTCAAATGACATCTAAATAGGCAGAGGCCCCCATTTTCATTGCTTTGAATTTACAGCACTGTCTTTTGCAACTGGTTTTATTTAGGCTTTCATTTCAGTTTCCTATGCTTTTATTTTTCTTTGACTATGTTCTGCCCTTAGACGTGTTTTCTCTGTCTGGTTCATTCCCTAAACTTCCACATGCTCCCCCTGTGCATACACATTCATGTGCGTTTGTGCACGCACGTGTGCACACACACGCACGCACACGCATACGTGTGTGCACGCACACACACACACACACACACACACACACTGTTTCTCTTTGTTCTTTGAGAATCAGTACATGCAGTGCCTCCTTTGGAAGCCTTCTCTAATGTCCTCAAGCTGAGTAATTGCTTCTCTTCCTGTGTGATGTAGTAGAAAGTACATACAGTGTCCATCATGAAGTAGATCCCCTAAAAAATGTTAGTTCCTTTCTCACTTTCTTCCATGTGTATCTCTAAAATAGTATTGGTCACACCATACTATGTTTCTTATTTACTTTTCTGGCTTTTTCACCCAATCGTGAATGCATGTTTTCGTTTATTCAATATATATTTATTGCGTGTCTACTATGTGCACAATTCATTGTTCATGCTAGGTACTGGAGATTCAATGACTTCTGAAAATTATACTTTTACTGTGTGTTTTTCATTGATATATTCATAACACCTAGCTTAGTGTCTGACAAATAAAGAGTACCCATTAAATGTTTGTTAAGTGAAGGCATTTCCTCAGTAGAATTTCTCCAAATGCGGTCCTTAGAGAACCTGCATCTGGATCACTGAGGGGTGCAGGTTAAATGTTAAATGTTAGTTCTTGGGTCTTGCTCTAGATCTACTAAGTTAGAATCTCTTAAGGGCGGGCTGCAAGAATCTGCATTTCATCTAGTTCTGCAGGTTTTTCTTTCACACTAAAATTTGGGAATCATTACAAAATAGGAGTGGTGAGAGGGGAACAAATGCCTATTTTTGAAAAGTATAACTAAAGCCAATTGAATAATTTTTAATGCCTCAGACTGCAGTAGGAAAATTCAGTAAAGGAGAAAAGGGTATTAGTTAAAATTCTCTGGGAAGCATTTAAAAATAGACTTAGAATGTTCAAATAATTAAATAAAAATCCTAAAGTCTGGGATAACAAGTAGAGTGTTTGCTAATAAAATCTAATCTTAATTTAGGTCAAATTTATGATGCCAGAGAGTTTTCATTTTTATAGAGCTACTTATATAGTTGATTGTATATCTAGAGACTCTTTGTCTAACCTAATAATGCAACAACTGTGTTTGTACTTTGACCTTGATTATATATGTGACTTATCTGATGTCTAGTCTTTGATCAGGAATGATAGCAGTGCTCATTCTCCATGGAAATTTTATCAATTTTATTGTTTTTATGCGATATTTTCTGGGAGGATAGTGTTATTAAATGTATTCTTTGGTAATAGATTAGGTATGTAAGATCTGAGTCAACCAAGGACAGTATAACTTCACTTTCAGGAATACTTGCAAAGTTGAATTTTATGACCATGTTCCTGGGACCTGGAACTTTCCATTTTGAATTTGCCTTGACATGATCCTCCTGATCAAGAGTTGAGGTGTCTATACATCTGGGCACAAACCTCTGAAATATCCATGGGTTTATATTTCTGCTTTCCTCCTTATAATTTTACTTTAAAAAAAAATTATTTAAGATTTTGTTGGTATCACTGCTGCCGAGCTGGATCACGACCTGGGGTTCTCATAGCACTCCCTGAGCACCATATCCAATGACCTGAAGATTTTGTGCAGTGACTCCTACCTGAAGCTGAGCAATTACCGGGACCAGCAGTTCAGTGGCGATAACCAAGAGCATGAAAAATTACTGAAGGAAAGCTGCACGCTGTATGTGGGGAATCTTTCCTTTTATATAACTGAAGAGCAGATATTTGAGCTCTTTACTAGATGTGGTGATCTCAGGAATGTATTTATGGGCTTGAATAAAATAAAGAAAATGACATGTGGTTTCTGTTTTATAGAATACTATAGCAGAGCTGATGCGGAAAATGCCATGCGGTTCCTAAATGGGACCTTCTTAGATGACTGTATCATCCGCACAGACTGTGATCTAGGCTTTTGAGAGGGCAGACAGTATGGCCGTGGCTGGTCTAGGGGCCTGGTAAGAGATGAGTTTCGTGAAGACTTTGATGCTGGTAGAGGAAGCTTTGGAAAACAAGCTCAGGCCTGCGATAAGAAAGGAACCTACTAGTGAAATGCTGCTGCTCTAGCCCCTCAAAAAGTCTTTTAAAGAACAACACAGGTGAGCAAATAGCCTACCTCATAACAAGTTTAAATTACTTTATTTGCTGAGCAGAGACCCGTTCGATGTATTTTTCTCTCTGAAAATTTATTAAATGGCACAAACACAAACATTCTTTCATTCTTGTCTTAATTTTGAAGATGGCTAGCAGATTACCAGTTTGACCATCAGGTGGTCAATAGTGAAGTGTTTTTCAGGAATAAATTAGGTATGTAAGATCTGAATCAACTAAAGCACAACTTTCCTTTCAGAAAGACTTCAGTTGGATTTTATGACCATGTTCCCAGGGCCCCCAAATGATCACTTTTAGAGCTTGCATAAAATAAAGTCAAATAAATGAAAATTTTAAAAAAAGTATCAAAGAAACACAAGTGCATTATTTTAAAATAGAAAAAATTCAGAGTAGTTTATAATGAAAACAAAAATGGTCCTGCCCCAGCTCTTCCTACCTTAGACTTATTTCCTGGGTAATTTTAATTATTTAGCAGTGTTTTTGTTTATTTGTTTCCTGGTAGTTTCCTCCATATTGTAAATAACATGACTACTTGCAGTATTTAATTTCATTTTAAACATCATCTATCGACTTCCTGCTTTCATAGATAAGGATATAACTCACTTACACTCCCATTTGCATGTTTCTCCATCCTCTCAATATAGTTTACAACACTTTACTTTTCGTACTGCTATATAACATAGGTTTGGTTATGTGTTATATAGATTATATAACATATGCTGCAATAACAAACAACCCTAAAAGCCTTAGTGGCTTCAAATCACTAAAGTCTGTTCTTCACACTACATTTCCATTGCCGGCTGCCTGGGTTCTCTTCTCCATGCTACCATCATCCTCCTTCTGGGCCACAGAAGGCATAGCCACTGCCTTTAATGTAAATAAGATGGTGATTTCCTCCCTCTTGCTGGAGATTGGTTTAAGAATTCAGGATTAAGCCAAACAGAGGTTGACAATCCCATGATGGTGGTTATTAATAAGTTCAGGGTGGACAACGACAAATGAGGAAATAGCAAAAATGGAAATGAAGTATGTTTTAGTTTATCCTTGAAGGAGATACTGTCTCTCTCCTTCCGCTGGATGTGACTAACTATGTATATAGCAATTGCTACCAGCAGCCTTCTTACAACCAGGAGAAAACAGCCCTAGGATGGATTAGACACTAGACAGTGAAAAAAGAGACTAAGGAAACTGTGTCCTTCGTGAAATGACTCAGCTGCTGAATCAACTAATCCTGCAGCATGCGCTATGTCTAGATGTCCTATTATGTGAGAAAATACATTATTTTACTGTGTAAGCCAGTTTGTTAACATACTTCTGAAAGCACTCTGATACCAAATATTTTTTCTTAATTTCATCCTTTTGTAAAGGATTTAAATTGCTGTTTTGTGAGCCCAAGCATAAATCTCCAGGGTTCATCATGACTTTTCATTGGAAAGTTAAAGAATATCAATTTTTTAATCCTAACTCCTTCATTCTGTGACCTAAGTTCATCCTCTCTATTAAATAAGATTTTTCCTGAATAGGGGAGGAAAGGTAATGCCGATTTTTTATGGAGTGACTACTATGTGCTGGGCACGTTGCTAGAGGCTTTAAAACACAATCTCACTTACTCTTAACAATTCTGTGCCTGTTACTTATGTGAGGAAACTGAAGATTGGATAGGTAAGGTCACCAAATAATTGGCAAAACGGGAGGTCAAATCAAGGGAGTCTATATCAAAATTGGTGTCCTTAATCATGGTACTCTATTGTCCCTTTCCCTTACCTTCACTCAGGCCTCCAGGTCAAAACCTCTCTATGAGTTTCCTTTGTCTCAGGAAATTATCCTACTGACTACATCATATCTGAGCTCTCTCTCCCCTAAGCAAGCTTCTCAAGTGTGTTCTCCCTTCTGCTTGACATCAGGATACTCTGGCTCCACGTCTAATGCAAGCCAGCCATATTTATTTTTACTCTCGGGAGAAAGAGGAACATCTGACATGCATTTCTGGACAATTAACTTACTCTGCATACGGCAATGGAGTTTACTAATTTTTTTTTAAAATCTCCCCTTTGCAAACTTCCCTAAAATGGAAAAAAAAGAGATTTCAAGTCATGGGTTAAAATGTATTTTTATCACAGGATGTTTTGGGAGGAGTACCTTGGAGTATCCCTCAACCATTCCTTCTTTGATGAGGCTCATTAACAGGGAAAACAGGAAATGGGAATAGAATGTTAGATTTCTTTGGATTCTAGCAAAGCATTAACCAAGGTCTTTCCTTGAACCCTTATTTTACTGACCTTTCAGTGCCATTTAATACTGCTGCTCTTTGCTTTCTTTTTTAAGATTCCATGACACCACACTTTACTAGTTCCCTTCATCCCTCTCTGACTGTTCTTCCTTTGTCCTTCATGTGATCCTCTTCCTCCATCAACATGTGGCTGTTGACCAGGATTCCATCCTAAGTCCTTGGTTCTTCCCGGTCTTTAAATTCTTCCAGAAGGTTCCATCCATTCATTGTCTCCATTTTTCCTTCGCTCTGATGACACACAAATCTATATCTCCAGGCTAGAAACTTTATCTTAAACTTGAAAAATCTCACAGGTACCTCAACTTTAACATATCCAAAAACACTCATTATCTCCTCCTCAAACCTGTTCCTTTTATTGTATTCCCTGTCTCAAATGATGGCATCACCTAGTCACCCCCACACCAGAAACCTGCAAGTCATTTTTGCTTCATCACTCTCTCTTACTTCCCTCACAGATAAACATTTACTCAATCTTTATGATTTCACGTCTCAAATATTTCTCAACTCATGACATACCTAATACCTGTAACCAACTCTTAGCTGGCCTCCTTGCCTCCAGTTTTGACCCTATCCAACTCTTCACACAGACCCAGAACTAGCTTTTTAAAGTGCAAATGTGATCATGTAAAACCCCATTGCTCACAAGATAGAGTTCAAGCTATGTCAGGGCCATAAAGATCTCCTCAAACTTGTGAGCTTCATCACCCAGCTTCACGTCTCACTCACAGCTAACGTTTCAGCAGTACTAAAGTGCTTTCAGCCTTGAATTTCTCCAAACACTTCTATTCCTTTTTTAATGCTGCAGACTCTGCTTTGATGCCCATTCCCCACCCCCATGCTATTCATTCCCCCTTTGCCTGGCTGACTACTTTTCATTCTCTCAAACTCAGCCTAGGCATCATATCCTCAAGCCCATCCTGAAGTGGGTTAGATGCCTCTCTCTGTGCTTTCAAAGCATCCTGAACTTGACTCTATCACAGCACTTGTCCCACCATATTTTTCTTGTCTGTTCACATGCCTGTATCCCTCATTAGACTATGAGCTTCCTGAGGGCAGGGACTATGCTTTATTCAAAATTATATCCATCACATCATGTACAGAGTATATGGAACCAGGGAGAAGATAGTGTGGGTCTATTCTGCATGGTCAAACTATGCCTGAACAACTTTTAAATCAGTGAGCTAAGATGGATTAGTCAATAAATGCCAATGATTTGGAAAAAACAAAGCCAACCCTTAGGAATTGTTCAAGGAACAGGAAAGGTTTAAACAGGATAAGAAAAGACTACAAGGGAATTGACGGTTTTCTTCAAACAGGGCTGCGTTATGGGTTGAATTGTCTCTCCCCGAAAGAAATGTTGAAGTCCTAACCCCTGGAATATTAGAATGTAACCTTATTGGAGAATGGAGTCTTTGCAGATGCAATTACTTCAGATGAGGCCATATTGGCATAAAATGGGCCCTTAATCCAATAGGACTGTTGTACTCATAAGAAAAGGGAAATTTGGTCACAGACAAAGAGAAGAGACAGCCATGTGAATACAGAGGCAGAGATTGGAATTGTGCTGCCACACACCAAGGAAAAGGAGCTCCCAGAAGCTGGATGATGCAAGAAAAAAAAATTCTAGAGACGTCAAATGAAATATAGCCCTGCCAATACCTTGATTTCAGACATCTGGCCTCCAGAGCTGTAAGACAATACATTTCTATTGTTTTAAACCACCTGGTTTGTGGTACTTTGTTACAGCAGCCACAGAAAACTAATATAGTCTGTCATGGAGCAGAGGGAGCCAGATTTGTTCTGTGTAATATCCAATGGATGGAAGATACAGGGAGACAGAAATGCTTCTTTATATTGAGAAATGATTCTTTATATTGAGAAATACTTGTTTATATTGAATGGAAACCTCATAGTCACACTATCCAAAGGTAAAATAAGCTACCATGGAAGCTGGCAAGCTCCCCATTATTGATTGCATATTTGCTCATATTAAGGATTTAGCGTTAAAATTTTAGGCGAAAATAGCAGCATAATGTTTATAATGAGAGGGAGACAGTAAAAGAGATGAGGAGGAGACACCTTATCTTTTAGAGATACACTCTGAAGTGTTCATGGAACAACTAATATGGTGTCTAGGAATTTCTTTAAAATAATATGGAGGAGGGAGAGATGAGTTAGTGTACAGATGAAACATGATTGGCCATATGTTGATAATTGTTGAAACTGGGTAATGAATACATGGAGGCTCAATCACAGTATCCTATCTACTTTGTATTTGAAATTTTCCATGATCAAATGTTTAAAACAATAGCTATGAGCTACCATGTACTGAGCACTTATGATGTTTAGGAACCATGCTAGGTGCTTTTAAAGCATTATTTCATTTAATTTAATCACAGCACATAAAAACACTTAAATAAAAAGTGACATATTCTTATATAAGAAAGCACAGAACTGTAAAGATGTTCTCTTTGAATTAGTCTGTATAATCAAGATGAAGAGAGAGTTTAATTTGTTGGGATTGCTTGAATTTTCAAATGAATATATCTGTGTCAATTTGTGTACTTAAAATCTCCACAACAGTCCAATGAGGCATTAATGTTTCAATTTTATAAATGAGGAAATTGAGGATCAGAAAGTGAAATA